ACTGCCCCCAGGGACCTCAGGCCTATAACTCCCACTCACCACTTTCTCCCCTGTTCCTGGGAGGGACCAGAGGACCTTGGTTTAAATCCTTTTCTCAAGGCAATTTCTCGCCCAGGCTCTGCCCAGATGGTGTAAAACTCTAATTTACTGGGTTGGGAAGGCTGCAATTAGACGAGGATATGCACCACAGGAGTCTGATGGAATTGGAATAGTGGATCCTTTCGCAGATCTGGCCTCTGGAAAGAATGTCGATGTGGTGCTAATACAATTTTTCATAGGATTTAGAAAGGTTAAATGGCATAATGTCTATAAATGCTTAACACAGTGCCAGGCTTGTAGTAAGTGCTCATAAATGTTAGCTATTGTATTAGTTCAGAAAGCTAACTAACACAAAACTTCACACCAACACAAAGCCCTCCTTATTGGAGCTTACACAGAGAAGGAGCTGTTTCTTCATACAGCCAGACGTCTAGAGTAGGGCTGCAATTCCAAGCATTGGCTCGGCAGCTCAAAGATGGTGGGGCCGATGCCACTGAAATGTTTCTGGCCATTCCCTCATGGATGCAGGAGGGTTGTCATAACTCCAGCAACTGTGTCTGGCTCAAGCCAGGAGAGGGGAAAGCCTGCTCTACCCACATCTGACCTCACTCATCGGGACAGAAAAGGTTCTTTAGAAATCTATGAGAACATTTCTGTTTAGTTCCCAAGGGCCAATGCTGGATCACATAGCTGTTCTCTGGGTGCAGAGGGGATGGAAAAGGAAGAACAGGACAGTCATGACTGGCACACGGGTCACGAGCCATTGTAGGAAGAAGTAGGGTTTAGAAGCTGACAGTGATTACCATAGACCCTTACCTGCCCCAGCCGGCGTTTCCACCCTCCCACTTCCATTGTTGGCTAATTGAGCGGCCTCCTGCCAATCATAAATATTTAATAAGCTCACATCCCCCTGCACCAATCTAGACTCTCTTAACCTCTCCCTGTCTATCTGAATAATGTTTCCCATTGTCTCTGTACTAATCACCATTGCTGATGACAACCCGCAAAGAACAATATACTCATTTCTGACCTGCTCACAGACCAGCAGGTCAGTGGAGCGGCCTCTGGTCCAGGATGTCAGTTCAGGTGAGCTTCTGAAGCACTCTGAGTCCCTAGAGGACCCTCTTCACGACAGATTGGGAGAACACCCAAGACCAAACCATGCCACAGCATTTGGGCCCTGCTTGCATCTTGATTGCTCATATTCCATTGGCCACAGAAAGTCACATGACCAAGTCCGACAAGGATGATTATCCCTCCCGTTAGAGGGAAAGACAGAGTGAATATTTGCTGCCCAAAATCTAATTGATCAAAACTTCCTAATCCAAGCTTGAGTTAAGAGTCTTCTTTGCACAACAGGATCCTCAGCACACCTTTCTGTTCTTCTTCCTCTTCCTTTTCTTCTTCTCCTTCTCCTCCCCTCCCCCTCCCTCTCCCCCATCTTCTTCTTCTTCCTCTTCCCCTTCCCTTTCCCCTTCCCCTTCCCCTTCTCCTTCTCCTTCATTGTTCTATCTTTTCAGTCATCTTTCTTGCTCAGTGGATTGCCAGGAAGGTAGCTGTGGAGAAAAGAGGGATGAACAGCTCCTTTACAATGAGCCTCACCCCAGCCTTCTCCTCTCCACCTTTTTGAGACAGGGTCTTGCTAAGTCACCAGTTGCCCAGACAGAGCTTGAACTCAAGATGCTCCTTCCTCAGCCTTCCAGAATCATGGCACAGAGAATTTTTAGGGCCCTGAAACTGTTCTGTATATTACTAGAATGGTGGATACTTGCTCTTATACACTTGCTAAACCGATAGAATGCACAAGATAAAAAATGAATCCTTTTTATTTCAAGACAGGGTCTTGCTATGTAGTTTAGGCTGGCACTGAACTCACTATGTAGCCTAGGCAGAGATCTTCCTACCTCAGCCCTCTGAGTACTGGGATTATAGGCCTGTGCCACTGTGCCCAGCTTTAGAAAGTGAATTCTAATGCAAAGTATGGATTTATTTCATGACAATGAATCTACATTGACTCATCCTTTGTAACAAATGTATCCCTCTAATAAAAGATGTTAATACTAAGGAAAAGAGAGTGGCTGGAACGGTATAGGAACTCTATGTACCTTCTCCTCTGTTTTTCTGTAAAGTTTAAACTGGGCCCCAGAATAGTCTGTTAACTTAGAGAATAAGATAATAGAGTGGTATAAAAGGGGCATGCATAAAGTATTATAACAGCCCAGGAAGCAAATGATCAACATTCTCTGGGCACAATGAGAAGGAAGCCTTCCAGAGGTTTGAATTGAATCTTGAAGTCCAAGTAGAAATCCCCAGGTAGAGCAAGAAGAAAGATGAACCTGGCAGAAGGCACCATTATCTGCTGTGTCTGCTGCCCAATAATTTAGAGTACTGTGTGCCATAGAGAAAATACTGGATAAATATTTCTTGCATGGAGGCCTGGTAACCTGACAGGATATAGCAAGATGGAGCTCTATTTCCTAACTAGGCACAAAGGTTAAGAAAAAGTGTGACAGGTACTTACTTTCCAACCTCCCCCATTCTATCCATCCCAAATGGCTACCAAGGTATGAAAAGGTTCCAGTTGCTCTCTGCTGGGGAAAAGCATCTTCTTGATGTTGATGTTGATGCATGAAAGGTAATTAGGTAGCCAAGAAGGAGTTGAGCTGGAGGCAGTAGCATCTTGCTTATGTTAGGCCTTATAAACAAGCAAAAAACAAACTGCAAAAGTCACACTTCAGGATGGTTTTATGTTTCCCAACACTGTATGAACCTCCTGTGGACAGGACCCATACTCCAGTGGAACTGGCTGCCTTGGCCAGATATGAAAGCCCATCTCCATGAAGCTGAAGGGCTGAGCCACAGCAAGGAGGGAGAAGCAGCTCTGAGGGCACTTGACTCCACCCACAGGGGCCGGGGCAAACCTCAGAAGCAAAACAGAGGGACGGGCACTGTGACGCAGAATCCACCCTTTGTCCCTTACAGCCTCCTCTCCAGGGCTCAGCAGAGACTGAGGGCTTTCTTCCCTGGTGATTTACCTCTTAGAGTTCTGCTTCTGAGACTGGGGCATGTACACACACACACGCACGCACGCACGCACGCACGCACACCACCACCACCACCACCAGCTCCACCAGCAGCAGCACCATCTCAAATTTACAGAAAACTTGCAAGTATGAAATAAAGACTTTTCTTTTGCTGGATCATCTGAAAGCAAGTAGCCAGCATGAAGCCTGTCACCACTAAATACTGTGGTGTGTATTTCCAGTGAACAAGGAGAGCAACCGTCAAGATCATGAAATTCACATCATGCATTTTAACACCTGGGCCTCGGGCCACAGAAGTCTCGTCTTCTGTCCCAGTAACATTATCAGCAAGGCTGCAGTCTAGAATCACACCTTGCCTTTAGACATCAAATCCTGTTAGTCTCCTTCAGTCTGAAGTGGTTCCTCAGTCTTCCCTTGATTTTCATGACCTTAACCGAAGATCATGAGCCAGTCAGTTTCTAGAATGTCTGGATTTTATCCTGGTTAGATTTAGAAGATGGATCTTTGGCAGAAATGTCACACAATGATCCTCTGTTCTCCTCTCAGGTGGCACAAGAGTTCAATTGTCCCATTACTGACGATGTCCACTTGGTCCAAGACAGGTGGTACCTGCCAGGCTCTCTCCTGCAAGGTTACTGTTTTCACTGTTTTTCTCTCTGTAGCTGATCATTACCTGTATGTAAATATTGTGTTCCTCATCACACTTTCCATATATTCAGTAATTTTTAATGCTCTGGGTTCCTGATTTTTATGCTATGATATATAATTCATAACTATTTATTTATGTTGAAATTGCTCTAGAAATCCCGACACAGTATCTTTGTTCTAGCTTGTTCCCATCATTCTTTTGAACACTTACTATCTGGATAACAAGATGTTCCAGGCTCATCCCTGCCTTCTCCAAGGTTTCTCCTTCTTCTTTTTTTTAATTGACAATGTTATTCAGAAGCTAAAATCTGGTCACCATGGATGCTCCCTGTATTCAGAATGTCATGGCTCTCGGGTTCTTCGAGTAGAAATGACTAAGGAAGACATGTGTGTTTGCACATTCTCAGGTGCGAGTATGAATACACACCTGTATTTTCCACCTATACCTATTTAGACGGCATCAACTAGTGGGAGTTCTCCTCAACACCTCCAATTGTAATCCAACCCCTGAGGATCATCCGATTCCTCTTTCCATGTTTGTAGCTTGATTCTCCAACAGTGTGAGCCCCTCTCATCTTAATAGATCTGCTTACCTGATCGGTGTGCGTACCCCACCTGCAACTCCATCCCTGCTCCTTCCTTACAAGGGTGTTACACTGACCCATCTTGCCTGACAGCCAGTGCAAGGCCTTCTCCCTTCACGGATGCTGTCCTCACGCCACTGGGCATCTCTGTGGGGTCACTGTCCTCATTGTGGATCGGACTCCCTGCATGAGTGGGCAACGTTTTCTCCCTTAAGTCAGAGTTGCAGCCCTCATGCAGGCAGCCCTGCTGCACAGGCAACCTCGTCCCTTGCTCTACTTGTCCACCTGACCGACTAAACATGGGCAGCTTGCATCAGCTCTGCCCGGGACCAGTACAGAACCCGCCCTTTTGGAAGGATGTGTCTATTTTCATAGTCTTTGACTCTGTCTTTTTCAAAACCCGGGCAAAAGTGAAAATTACTCACTTCCTCCAAGTTCCTATGCAATGCTGGAGCTCGAAGGACCCTGCTTCCTTCATGCCTCTCTATTGTTGCTGCAAAGTGAATGATCTTTTTAAAGTGCCATTGAACTTGGTTTGCTAGTATTATTCTGTTGAGGATTTTTGCATTTATCTTCATCGAGGATATTGGCCTGCAAATTTCCTTCTTATTGTTGTGTCTTTGGTTATAGTATAAGGGTAACAAAGGCCTCATAGGATGATCCTGAAATATTCTCATCTGTTCAGTTTTTTAGGAAGAAGCAGTACTAGTTCTTCAAATGTTGGCTAGAATTCAGCAGTGAAGCCATCAAGCCCTGAGCTTTTCTTGGGTGAGAGAGTTTTTATTACTGATTCAACTCCCTCTCTTATCATTTATTCTGATGTTTAAATTTCTTCTTTACTCGATCTTAGTAAGTTGCATATGTCCAGAAATGTATCCATTTTCCAGGTTATTCAATTTATTGGTGTGCAACTGTTCACAACAGTCTCTTATGTGTATATCTGTGATGTTGCTTTTTCATCTCTGATTGTATGTCTTGTTTTCCTTAGCCTAGCTAAAAGTTTGTTGATTTTGTTTATATTTTCGAAAAACCAACTTTTCATTTCAATGAACTTTCATATTAAAGCTTCCATTTCATTTATTTTTGCTCTGATCTTTATTATATCCTTCCTCTCACTAATTCCAGGCTGTGTTTGTTCTTGTTTTTCTAGTTTCTTGAGGTGCATCATTAGATTGTTTACTTGAGATCTACTTTTTTCATGTCTTTGTTGTGATAAACTCCCCTCTGAATGCTGCCTTTACTATATCTTAAAGGTATTGGTATGTTGTGTTTCTATTTTCATTGGTCTCAAGAAAATTTTCAATTTCCTTTCTGATTTCTTCATTGCTTCTGATTGTTTGGAGTTGTTTAATTTTTAAATGCTTATAAAGTTTCTGAACTTTCTCCTGTTGTTGATTTCTAGTTTTATAACACTGTAGCCAGAAAAAGGTCCATGAAATAACTTCCATCTCTTAAATTTGTTCAGGCTTGCTCTGTGGCCTCATGTATGACCTTCTCTCAGGTATCTCTGCGCTGCTGAGAAGAGGGAGTGTCTGCAGCCACTGCGGGGAATGTCTTGCAATCGGTAGGTTGCCCCTCCGCTTTCACACAGCCTCTTCCTTCTGCTTCCTGCTGTTCCCAGGCTTGATAAACCCACTCATTTCAAGTGTTTCTAACTCTATGAAGTTTTCCTGGACTCATAAACTTGACCCCAAGTTAATCCTTTTTCTCTCTGTGCTATTTAGTTTTTTCTTTTTCATTATTGAAAATATTGCCCATCTCTCCTACTAGACTCTGAACCTCGATTCTTTGAGAGAAGTCATTCAAGTATTTATTGAGCCCCTACCATTGTAAGGCTCTGTGCTAAGTATTAGTGATGAAGCAGAGAACAAGATGCAGCTCTTTTCCTCAAAGAGCTTGCGATCTAGTGGAAATTTTCAATAAGCAATCCTGGTCCAGTGCTGGCTAGGCGCTAGGCGCATGGATGGTGTTCAGTGGATGCTTTGGAAATATGTAGGACTGGTGTTGTCACAGCATGGAATATGGTACTCAGTTCTCTGATGGAATCTTTTCTTTCTAATGACGATAATGATAGGAATGGTGGACTTGGCGTATGTTGAACAATGGGTTAAAAAGCTTATCATTAGCTCTCTCATGTAACCTTTAAAAGCACACTCTCAGATAACCACAGGTCCACGATTGCCTATGATTTCAAAATCCAAGAATCTCTTAAAACAGAGAATTCATTTGTAGCTAAAACCCAGCCAGCAACAAAATTTGTGACATTCTGATCGACAACTTCGTCCAACTCAAAAACCTAACCAGACTGGAATTGGTTAGAATTTATTTGGCTGGCAAAAACTGACGAAAAGTAATGTGAGGTTACTTATGATGCTTCATTTGTCCTACTTGGTGTGACCATTTGCCACCGTCACAGAAGTAGTGTTACATTTAGTTGACTGTAGGGTGTTGCTCCAGTCCCCCGTGGCATTTTATGTGACAGGTAATATATGCATTTGTCATCTTTTGGAAATCAGAAAGATTCAGAATTCTGACACATTTTCCCTAAGGGTTTTGAACAAGACTGAGTCTGTCCTATTACTGTCCTCTTTTGACCCATAGCAGCCAAGGAACTCACCTAAGATCACTCAGTAGACCCAGGCACTCACCGAGGCAGCCTGGCTTCACAATGAAGCCTTCCAGTCTTCCCCAGTGCTGCCTAGCACCCTTCATTTGCCATTCAGCCATCTATACTAAGCACCTGTCATGTGTGGGTGCTGTGAATCCTAGGAGGAGTAAAGCACTGTCCTTGACCTCTAGGAGCTGGGGACAGGCAGATACATATATGAGAAGGGAAGAAAGCCTTGTGACAAACTACGGTGATAAACAACTTAAAGAAGGAAAGGTTCATTTTGGCTCACAGTTTCAAAGGTCTCAGTCCATGGTCAGCTGGCTCCCTTGCTTTAGGCTTGTGGCAAGGAGAAACATGATGAAGAGCAAGGCAGAGGAAAGCTGCTCCCCTCACAGCAGCCAGGAAACACAAGGAATAAGGAAGAGCCAGAGAGGAAGGGGCCAGGGTCAAGCGATACCCTTCAGAGGTACATCCCCAGTGAGCTACTTCCCCGACCTGGGCCCCCTTCTAGCAGCCTGTTCAACTATGAAGTCATTGAGCCACTAGTGAGGTCCAGTCACCTCTAAGCCCCACCTCCTGACATCGGGGCACTGGGGATCAAGCCCTCAGTACAGGAGTCCTTGGGGGCACTTCATGTTGGAACTGTGACATGTCCTCTGGGCCACACTGTGGCACACCACTGTGACCTGCTGCTGTGGACGCTGCCCATCTCTGCCCTTGGACTCCTGGGCTATCTTTACTGGCTCTGCATGTCCATCCTCCAAGCTCCCGCCAATTCTCCCTCCTGCGGCCTTCGGGTGACAGGCCACCCTGGGCTGCTGGAGCCTGTACCGCCCTGGCAGGGAGAGCCAGGGGTTCCTGGAAGTCCGTGTCCCTCCCATGCCTGCTCGGATGAGGCCAGACACAGCAGGAGAGCCGGAGGGACCATGGCCCCATAGCTCTTGGGAGCTCCTGGCTGGACCAGGCGGACTGGGCCTTCTCCTAACAGGTGCCCTCGCTTGGCCCCTTCCCTTTCTTGTTCCACTTCCGGTGCTGGGAAGGCAAGACATGCTTCATAAATCATGTGCCCGCTAGCTCAGCTGGGAGTCAGCCTGCGGGCAGCCTGGTGTTTGGCCCTGCATGTGCCCCCTCCAGAGCCCTGCGCAAAGCCAGCACTGCTAAGGGCTAGAGATGGAGCCGACTTCTCGGACCGAGAGCTGGACAGGAACTTGGGGGAGGCTGGAGGCTCAGTCAGGAAAGGCGGGGAAGAGGGTTCCACGCCAGGAGGCGGAGTGTGAGCTGTCAGGGTGGTGCGGAAAAGAGATTAGGGGAGAAGGTTGGAGACTGCGGCCAGACCTCTGCTCTTTCCTTTTCCGCGCCTCGAGAAAGTCCCCGACACACACACACACACACACACACACACACACACACACACACGCGCGCGCGCGCGCGCGGCTTTCGTCCTGAAACACCCAATCTGGCAGGCCCAGGCAAACGCCTGCCGGGTACCACTCCTCCAGGCCGCCCTCCAGCATTTTACCTACACATTTTAAAAGAAAGAGTGAATAAAGATAGTCACGCAGTCGGCCTGAGCGTGAAATGAACGAAGCGTTTCACCACTGGGCCCTCTTGGGAAGGGGCCCCGCACCGCACACGCGAGGACGCCTCGGGACACCGTGACGTGAGGCCGCACCTAAAGCGGGGTCTCTGGGTGCAGGGTGGAGTGGAACCCGGGCGCGGCGGGACGGGGCGGGGGGCAATGGCTGGGCCCAGCACCGACCCCGCGCCGCGCGCGCCGTCCAGTCTCCCGGGACACTCCGAGGCGCCGCGCCCGGGCCGAAGCCGACTTCGTTTGGGGCAGCGTGGCGGCGTTTGCGCCTGCGCCATGACGTTCGTCTTCTGCGCCGCAGTAGGGAGGGGCGCAAACGTCCTCTGCGTGCGAGACGCTGGTCTAACTCCTTAGCTGGATCCATCGGATTGCTCCCGGGAGCTCAGAGCTGTGCGGGACAGTGGGCCTCTTTCGCAGATGGAGAGAGTGAGGCGCGGACCCAGGTTCCAGGGCGGAGAACCGGCAGCAACCTCGCCAGCCTCGGTGGCCTCGGAGCCTGCTTTAATTTCTGGCATTTCATTTATCTTTTTTTTTTGTACCAGAGATCGGGTTGTTGTTTTTTGAGACAGGGTCTCAATTTGAGTGCAGCTGGCCTTGAACTCACTATGTAGCCCAGGCTGGCCTTGAACTTGCAGCGATCCTCCTGCTTCAGCTTCCCAAGTGCTAGGATCACAGGCATGTGCCACCGTACCCGGCCATTTCATTTATCTTGTGGAGTTTTAATTTTGCATTTATTTTGATTATGAAAAAGTGGCCCATTAAAACAGTCACACGCTGCAGCACATTTCTGCCAAGAGCGTGTTGGATGGCAGTTTATAAGGGCGCTAAAAGAACTCCTATTGCTTAGCAATGCCCTTGCTCCTGTCCTGACGTCACAGGAGACGCAACACCGGGTTGTGGTGACTTGTAGGCCCGTCTATACCTTTGCTTTGGGGAACCAGGTGTAGCCCTCATAGCAAATGCTTAAAAACACAGCAATACCACATTCATTATGTATTGCCTTCTCAAAAGGATTTCTTAAAATGTATTTTGATTTGCTTTTAATTGGCTACAAGGCACTAATTTATAATGGCTCTGATCTCTTAGGGATGATTAAGGGTACTGGGAAATTCCTGCAACGTGAGAAAATCGAAATCGTTTTCACCTGTAATGAGATTTTTAGGGATAATTAATTGAGCAATTTAATGATGTTGACACGGTGGTACCTTCTGTGGACATTTAATTAAACATTTATTAGTTTTGACTTTGCCATTTGCGCTCTCCTACTGGAGCCAAGAATCCCTTTTCCAGGTCTCCAGCATTTTTGTTGGAAAGCCCTCCTAGCAGCTTGTACCCAGGCCTTTTCCTAGGTAGGTGGGAGAATGGCCCTGCCCACCCAGGCCGGTCCCCATGGGATGGGGCCCCAGTGCTGCTCAGATTCCTCTAGCCTTTGCTAAGCTGTCAGTTTCCCCTCAGGTGCTCACCAGACGTCCTGGCGGGAGGACCCTTGTGGGTATGGGTTGAATTGTGACTGTCTCATGGGGGAGAGGGATACAAGGCACAAAATGTACCAGAAAGGGGGTGAGAAGTCCTGGCATGGCTCAGTCAACTCTGGCAGCTGTCACAAAATACATAACTAGGTGGCTCAGGCAACAGACATTTAATTTCCACAGTTCCAGAGGCTGGAAGCCCAAGACCAAGGAGCCAGCAAGTTCCCTTTCTGGGCGGGGCTCTCATCCTGGCTTGCAGATGGCCTCTATCTTGCCATGTTCTCACACGGCAGACCGGGTTAGGCAGCCCTGCCCCCAATCCTAATCCTGACCCAAACATTCAGCCTAATGCTCTGGTCTCCTTCTACGAAAGTACTGATTCTATCCTCACGACTTCATCAAACCTTCTTCCTCCAAAGGCCCCTGCCTACAACCACCAGCACATTGAGGATTAGAGCATCGATTTAGGAGTTTTGTGGGAGACCCAGACATTCAGTGTACACTATCGTGCTACTTCGGATGCTGTGTCCCTGAGGAAGACTCTGCCCTTTTCTGGACCTTGGTTCCACCTTCAGGGAAATGAATTCAGGTCTGGAAATGTCCAGTCCGAAGCCCTTTCAGTCCTCTCCTCCCTGGCTGATTTGAGTTCTTGGAAGAAGCAAGACTCTACAGGCCTGCTTTGGTGAGGGGGGTCAAACAGATGTTTCCAGCAGTGGTAGCTTGGGATGATCTGGTTTTGCCTTCACTGAGATCCTTAGAGACACTGCTGTGACTTCCTCCGTGTGGGCCATTGTGACACACGGGGCAAGGCAATGGCACATAGCAGGTGCTCGGTGCATAGTTGTCAGGAAGAACCAGCTTTTCCAGATGAGGAGACTGAGGCAAAGAGAGATCTG